AAAGATTATAATTTTATATTTAAATATTGAGTTGAGATACTTTTTAATTCATATAATTTTTAAGTTAAGAACTGAAATTTCTCCTTCACATTTATAACAAACAGCAATAGTTCTAAGTATTGCAAAAATTTTGTAGTAGACAACACTCAGATCCATTCTACAATCACTTATCGATGCTATAATATAACCTTCGGGGTTTGCATCAATTCACCTCATTTACCAATTAATCCATACTACATGCTATCCAAAAATCTCCATTTTCTTTGAGAAAGCTAAAACATTGATGAGACAATACCATATCAACTGAAAACTGATATGTCAATTGTAATGTTAGGTCCAATGTAACATTGTTTGGTGGATGAAAACTAAATATAAGAGCACATTAACTGGTTCCGAATTATGTGATTCAATGTCTAATTTGCTTTTTCAAGAGTAAATATGACGAGAATTTTCCTATTCCCGGGCAAAAACACTATGAAAATTTGAATCTTACACTAAGTTTAAAGAATAAGTTCATAAACTACAAGCACGTGAATTGTAACGTCAATGAAGTTTCTAAGCACAATATCATAGACATTTGTACTTGGTGTCTATTCTATAAAAACGCCATTATTAGTGAATTGAGAACTCATCATTAGGACACCAGAAACAATAGTTTAATCTTAAACAACTAAAACCAAATAGGTAAAAGAGAAGATAAATTTTTTTTACTCAATTCAAAATTGTATTCTCCAGCTCTTGATCTTTTGACACACTTATTGCTGCCATAAAGACTGACAAACCAAAGGAATCGTGATTGATTTCACTCCCCCACAAACATATAAACAATCAAATATTAAAATAACATATTTCTAATAAATTGATTTTTGAAGGATATCATATTATGGTGGGGAATTATAAAGAAGTAATAAAACATTATAAAAGTAAAAGTAATTAGTCTTTTGATTAAACTTGTGCTTCAGTCTCATGATCCATTTCTACTTGGCTGTGGATATTATTAACAATCAAAAAGATTCAGTTAAAACAATCAAAACCAATGCTAATTAAGAGACTCATATGGTAGAGTTTATAAGAACAGGAAAAACATCAAAGTTCAGTATCACAGACTTCCTACAGGAGCAATAAAACAAAATTGCTTCTGATAAAATTTACCATAATGAAGATTTAGTTGTCTTTAAATGATTGCTAACAAATTCATATTTATACCTTGTTTACTAAAGTATTTTCCAAAATGCAGGTATGCTTGTAAACCGACATTAACACTATTATTACAAAAATTTAAAAGTTTAATGTGAATTTCTAAAAATTTTGAGAGAGCCAAATTAAAATTTAAAAAAAAATTAAGGATCTAAATTATAATTTTAGTATTTTAACCTTAAAAATGGGGAACTATCCTACTAACACTCTTTTATCTCTTTTTCACTTACAATGGTAAAACTCACCCCTATTTATAGATTTTAGTGGTAATTAGATTGTTGACACATGTTAACATTTTAGCTATTTAACAATATAAATATCTAGATTTTTCTAATAGATAATTCAAAACAAAATAATAAATAGTACAAATATCTAGATTATTTTATGGATATTTCTAGACATCTACTCTTTCTATATTAATCTAGAATATTCTCAAGATATATCTCCTAAATGATAATTATATATTTACCTTTATATTGGATTTTTAGCAGCAATGTTCAATCAACTTTATCTTCAACTATTCAATCTTTTAGTCCCTAAATTTAACATGATCATACCGAAATGGATTAAATACCTCATAAACTATCATATTACATGCTTAAAATAAAGTATAACATGTCTCCAATCTAAGTATATAACACATATATCCAACATGTCTCAAAATAGACAATCATTAAAATGCATTTGTCCCTTTGTTTCGAAACTCCATTCTCAGATTGTTTCATTCATGTCAATAATTTTGGGCATGCAACATTACCAATAGCTCTAGAAATTTGAATGACAATTTTTATAGTTAAATCTATAGCAAAGTGAGAGAATGATACACTTGCTTTTGACTTCTTACTTGTGGAATTGTTAATTCTCCTTCAATGCTATTTTAGATCCTCCCTAAGCTTGTGAATTTTCTCATTTGATGTCTTTCGGGCAAACTTAACCTATATTTCAGCCTTCTTACGTGTCACTCGCTCATCTTCCAACTGTCATTTGAGCCTCACGGTTGACTGTTTCATCTTTAACTCAACATATTGAAATATCATTATCCATTAATTCATGCTTATAGTTTCATGAATAAACTATACACACGAACAACAAATTATAAAAATGATACGTAAAAGTAGATAAAATACGCATCATCAAATTAACAAATACTATCTTAGTAATTCGTCTAATTTGATCTCCATGTGATTTTTTCACCAGCTCCTTAAGCTCAAGCATTTCTTGCTTGGAGCGACCTTTCTAATAAGCATTCTCTTCATTTTGGTGACGAATAGTTGCTTCTTTCTGTCACATGAATACAGTGACAATGACACAATCCTTATTGTACATTAAGTTCCCAAAAGAAAACACTAACCTTAAGTTCAACAAACAATTCATTAGAATACGATTGCCCAACATTTTGTGCAATTACAGTGTCTGTGGCAGAACTCAACATTTTTTTCTAGGGGGAATTTAAAAAAAATTGAGCAAACCAAGAATATTAATAGCACCTATGATGTTTTTCTTGAGAAAATAGATAATTAGAGGAATAGATTTGATCTGGACCTGCACTCAAGTCAAATTTCATTTTGTTTATTAACTGGATATTCCTACACTTAAGTAACTCTGGATCATGTTCTACAAACGAAAGATTAAAACGTTTTCAACCTCAAGAACCGGAGACATAGGAAGGGTGTGTGTGCACACATGCACGTGCGTGCTCGTATGTGTACATTTTTTTAGAGATTAAAATTTATGAAATCACAAAATAAATATATATTTAAAATAATATCATAAATATTTATGAAATTAAAAAATATTTTTTTAAAAATTATCTTCAACTGAGATGAAACACTTTATAATTTTATTAAAGTCGTCAACTCAAAGAAGATGAAGAATTCAAAGAAGATGAACAACCAAAGAGGAAAAAATACATATTTTTTTGTATTTTAAAATAAAAAAAATTGACAAAGGAAAATGGATATTAATTGTTATGAATAAATAATATTTAATTAGTTTCTAAATTCTAAAGTAATAAACATTTTTTTTTGAGACAATCAATTTTTTTATTAAGTAGAGAGAGATTATATTTATAATCCAAATATCGATATTCAAATCTGGTGAGACAATATATGTATCATTGATTACTCGGTCAATTAATATATCTATGAGACAATCAAATTTAATAATTTATTATACAAGTAGAATCAAATTTAATATTTCAATATATATATATATATATATATTTTGGGCCACGGCTCCCACTAGTCTTATGGGCGTTTCGCCCTTAAGCCCTTGCATGGCGATATGGTGGATATTCACCCCAGGGTCGAGTGTTGATAAAAGTCCCCACTGGCATGCATGGCCACTGCCGCCGCCATGAGCGTCGCGCAAATCAAAACTAACTTGCAATTGAGTGCTGCTTGCAAATCCAAAGATCTCTCTCTGATTTTGTTTCTCCGGTACTGTTATGAGCAGGGGCGGCTATGGCTGTTTTCTTTGCTTTATTCTCTGTTGCTTTGGTTTTGGTGGGTTTATATTAAATTCCCAATGCTTCTTCTCTGATTTTATTTATTTAAAGTTTGTTTTAAACCAATATGGTATTCAATCATTATTTAATTAGTAATATTACTAATGATATTCTAAATTTATTTTTTCAAATAAGAATTTTTTACAGTGCAAATTAAATAACCCATAGAAGATTCGTCATTTTTTGTATTTTCATGCATGTTCGCTATTTTGAATACTCTAGATATCTAGAAGCTATACAGAAGATATTTTACAGTTAGTCCAACTTCATAAAGTCGTCCAATGATTTAATCGATTTTTTTACACGGTTCATTTTATCTTAATTAAAAAATACTTTAAAATATTAAATAAAAAACTTTTTTCTAGTATTATTATCTCAACATTTTTGCCGTTATTTATGTGTTAGTTTTATTTATAATATAATTTTAATATTTAGAGAGAAAAGTAGGGTTTAGGGTGAGCACCAACCAAACCAATTCTATCTTCTAATCTATAAACCGAAAATCCGTTGTGCTTCCCTAATTTTTGTTCAAACTTAAGGGAGGGAAGAAGAATTTTGATCCTAATAAATATTAAACCCACTACCTAAAGAAGATGAAAGATGTCAACCGAAAACTTTTAACCATTTGTTCTAAAGATTATGAATTGCTTCCCTAATCTTTGATCAAAGGCTAATCGTGTTTGTTCCTTTCCATTATTAAATTCTTCAATAATTTTCTAAAAGATTATAATTTTATGTTTAAATATTGAGTTGAGACAATTTTAATTCATATAATTTTTAAGTCAAGAACTGAGATTTCTGCTACACATTTATAACAAGCAACAATAGCTCTAGGTACTGCAAATTTTAGTAGTAGACAACAACTCAGGACCATTCTACAATCACTCACCAATGCTATAATATAACCTTTGGGGTTTGCATCAATTCACCTCATTTACCAATTAATCTGTAATACATGCTATCCAAAAATCTCCATTTTTTTGGAGAAAGCTAGAACATTGATTAGACAATACCATATCAACCGACATTAAATGTAATGTTAGGTCCAATGTAACATTGTTTGGTGGATGGAAACTAAATACAAGAGCACATTAATTGGTTCTAGATTATGTGATTAATGTCTAATTTGCTTTTTCTAGAGTAAATATGACGAGAATTTTCCTATTCTCGGGCAAAAACACTATGAAAATATGAATACTGCACTAAGTTTGAAGGATAAGTTCATAAGTTACAAGAATATGAATTGTAATGTCAATGAAGGTTCTAAGCACAATATCATAGGCATTAGTACTTGGTGTCTATTCTATAAAAGCACCATTATTAGTGAATCAAGAATTCGTCACTAAGACACCAGAAACAGTATTTTAATCTTAAACAGATAAAACCAAACAGGTAAAAGACGAGACAAATTTTCATACTCGGTTAAAAATTGTATTCTCCAGCTCTTGATCTTGACACACTTATTCCTACCATGAAGACTAACAAACCAAAGGAATCGTGATTGATTTCACTCCCTGCAAACATATAAACAATCAAATATTAAAATAACATACTTCTACTCAATTGGATTCGAAGGATATCAGATTATAGATCCTTCTATGCTAAATGATGCAAATGAAAAGCTACTTAATTAGTTCAAGGAAAGAAAACTAAATAAGAAAGATGTGACTAGAAATGAGACATACACTTACATTGGAGAAATCGAACAAGCAACACCTAGCAATAAGAGAGAGAGAGATTTCATTAATTGTTTGTTACTGTTCTTCGTAATATGGCGGTGTCGACTGAACACATAGTTCATTGTCATCATCTCCATCCTCCTCATTTGCATCTACCCAATTACTTGGATGACGTTGTGATAACCCATGCACATTAATCTGACTCCTATCTGAGCAGAAAAAATGAAAAGGGAGGATTTTTTCAATTACTGAAGAAGTGAATAAAACATTATAAAGTAAAAGTAACTAGTTTTTTGATTAACCTTGTGCTCTAGCCTCATGGTCCTTTTCTACTTGGCGGTGGGTACTACTAACAGTCAAGAAAACTCGGTTAAAACAATCAAAACCAATGCTAATTAAGAGATTAATATGATAGAGTTTATAAGAACGGAAAAAACATCAAAGTTAGTATCTTAGACTTCTTACAGGAGCATTAAAACAAAATTGTTTGCGATGAAATTTACCATAATGAAGATTTAGTTGTCTTTAAATGACCGCTAATAAATTCATATTTATACCCTGTTCACTAAAGCATTTTCCAAAATGCAGGTATGCTTGCAGACCGACATTAACGCTAATGTGAAATGCATATACATAGAGGAGAGAAAAAATATGAGCATGTTACGGCCAATAACATGACTTAGCAATTAGGCTTAGAAAGAGACATAATATTGACAGCAATATTCAGGATACAAACTAGGAGCAGCAGGAACATTTTCTCTAATCGGTGCATCTTTTGTAATCTGCATCATGCTAATCCTTTGAATATCCCTCTCATCACGATCATTTAAGTTCTGCTGTCTTTTAACCGGCCTTTCTTCAACCCCATTACCGCTCCTTGCTGCACTTCCTGAGAAGAATCGTAATGCATGAGGTTTTGAATAAACACGGCATCAAAATTTTGATGGTGAATAGTTAGTTACCTGAGAGGTCAGACCATATTCTGGTGTGGTCAGATGGATGTTCAGAAACATTTGCCTTAAATGTCTCTTGTGCTTCAGTCCCTGCCTGGTTATGTACATTTGTAGCTGCTTGTACAGGTTCAGAGGGATTGCCTTCATGTAGCTGTGATGTAAGCATGGTTGCAAGTACAAGTGCAGCATCAAAGTTTGAGACAGAGCCATCATCTAGGCCAAACTTTGGCGCCAATAAAATTGGCCTGTTACCAAATAAACATACATTCAAGACCAAACACACATTCTTGCTTAATGTAATAATAGTAGTTAGCAAGTGGGCAAGACCCAAAAAAGCAGAGATTAATTGCATATCCGTTCACTTTGAATTGTCCCACCTGAACAACTAGTCCAAAAATTCTTACTCTTTCTTGGTTAGGTTTCATAAACTTCTACAATCCTAACAATATTTTATTTGAAATTCAGATGGCTACCTCATGGAAAACGATTGGTATTAAGCAAGTAGGCAAGACCGACAAAAGCAAAGATTTATTTGCATATTCATGCACTTTGCATTGTCCCACCTGAATAACTAGTCTTCTTTCTGGGTTATGTTTCATAAACTTCTACAATCCCAACAATATTTTATTTGAAATTCAGATAGTTACCTTATAGAAAAAGAATGGTATTAGAAGCAGAATTGATGCAACAAAAACAGATGACACAAACTTGATATAAGATACGGCTATCTGAAGCGCAAAAGTTTGGACATAATCACTTGATGATGTGAAATGTTTTATATTTCAAAAGAAGTTTTTCTATGAGTTGTAAATAGATTTTATAGTGTTCAACAATTGCATGGAGAACTAAAATTACTCGAAGAATATCTTACTCGCCAGCTTTGTCAAGAAACAAGTGTATGTCAACCTCACAGCCTTCACAAAAAGTAAGGAATGCCTGCAGTTCAGGTTTTCTTTTCAGATAACATAACACAAAAAAAACCCTTCAACAACTCATGTTTACATCAAGCATCAATGGTAGAATAAATATTACCATATTGAAATTTGATTCATAAAACAAAGATAATAAAGTTGCTGCAAAATCTACTCTCCGCATCTAGATTTGATACCTTTAATTCCTTCATACTAAAGGTAACATCTACAGGATCTCCGGTGTGAGTATACTGCACAAACTCTTCTGAAGGATCTATCCAGAGTTGAGTGTACAATGAGGAATCATTCTCTTCACAGAAAAATAAAAAAATAAATTTCTTCTTCAAGCGGAAAAGAAAAATCAACATTGTTGGGTACCTTTTGTTGGATCTATATAACTTCTAAGCTCAACAGCTTTTCCACCTATTTCACTTGCAGCATCAGAAGGTAAGGATGTTGGCTCTGTTGCAATGATGGTAATTTCCTGAAGTGATGATTGAAAATTAGCTAGCAATCTATTTAGGTCACGAGGCCTAACTACCAAGTTACTTGGAAATCTTCTCCTATCAAGAGACAAGTGTTGTATGTCAGGTTCAACATTGCAGGTAATCCAATAAGATTTTTTCATACCTGCCAATCATATAAAATGAAAATGTTTAAAACCCAAATTAATTCATTTATGTACAAAATCAAAAAAAATTGAGAGGACTCTTTCGTGCAGCAGATCCCAAGTTATCATAAATGCCAAAACAAGCAAAAAAACTAGATTTTCAAGTATTCCCAAATGAAAATGAATCCAATTTCAAATACTTATTTTGGCTTTGTGGCTGGAATAGTAAGCATAAATTTGAACTTGTATGCACAAAGGTAAATGTAAAACACAATAAATTGAGTGCATTCCAATGCTAATACTAACTGCATAGAATGGTGACAATTGTCATACTCAGAATATAGATTATTAACATACATGAGAACCCTTCATCATCTCATTCCCAATTCCCGAATTTGAACATGGAAGAAAATGCAACAGAATATCAAATAAGCACTTTACCACTATAGCATTCCAAAGCCCACTGTATTTTTGCCGCATCAGGATCGGCCAATTTCACAGTCAAGTTACCAATACTTGCAATAGGTGTCCTAAAAACAGAACAAACAGCCTAAAAGGAAAAAGTCATTTGAAATGCTACCTTACATGATCCTTCAAACAAATATTTAATATAAGCATTGAAAGACAAAATTATACCTTCAAAAGCACACTACACTGCACTTGACTACCGGAAATTCTATATACATCAAAGAAGTTTGGCTTAAACGTAACAGATTGGTAGGCCGACCTTGAAGAATTAAGAGTATGAAGTGCAAGCTGCAAATATTACCAAGTTTTCAGTCAATTTGTGGTAAAAATATACGGATAAAAATCCCAAAATATAGACCATGTAGTATAATATTCTGTTTGGTCATTGGTTGCCAAGAAATATCGTACAAATACTGGATTTATCCTTTTTGCTATTCTACCGTGCAGCAACTGAAATCAAGTTACCGTTTGAAACCACTTAGTTCTCTCCCTCTCCCTCCCTCCCTCTCTCTCTCTCTCTCTCTCATTTCTTCTTCTTATCCTTATTTAAAAAAAAGATGTACATAAAGAACAATTAAACTAAACTGAATCCATTGTGAAGAACTTGATTGTCTATCATTTCCCTCCACTTTCCACTCACTAAATATTATGATAAATAAGCATTTAAGCCCATTCAAAACCCTAATTTCATTGATTAAACTAACTAAAGAATCACTTAATTCCAATTACTTGCGAACAACTGAACTAAAGAGAATAAATCCGGGGCTAGGGAGTAGGGAGATTATGATGGAGGAAGCGTACCTGCGAAGGAGAAGCTTGGAAGACGAGCTCGTTGCCTACACGTGCTAGGCAAGCGATCGAACGGCTAAAGGTTTTGAGAGCGTTGTCGCTTAGGCTCAGCTCCATCGCCTCTTTTTTCTTTAAAACTCTGAATTTCAATATATGAAAATTTATAAAACTGCTAAACTCAACCCAGTGAAATTGAGTTGAGACTCGGAAAAGGGAGCGATTTCTGGTTTGCGTTTGGCGGGAAAGGTGAACAAAATGAATGCAGTAGTATTGTGTTTTATAATAAAATTGGATCTCTACCGTCCACGTCGGTTTCATTACCTCCTTTGACTGTTGATGGTCCTGATTTCATTGCTGCATTAGTTGTCTAATAAAGGAAGGAAATAAAAAAAATGGGTAAATATATGTTTTGGTATGTGAACTTTATTTTGATGTGCAAATTGGTATTAAACTTACTTCAATATTCAATTTAATACCTATTTTTTATGTTTAGAAAATATGCATGGTAGTCATTTTATTACTTGAAAGCTGAAAGTTATTATCTGGGTTCTACACATTAGTACAGTAGGTGAGGTGAGATATATTGTAAGCTATTCGAATTTAATTTTTTTAAAGATTAGTCGACATTTTAATTCAAATAGGCTTGATTTGTGCTCGAAGTCAATTCGAGTTTTTAACGAGTCGAAATGAACTATTTGATATTTAACTCGAAATCTCACGAGTCAGTAGCGGAACCACGTGGAGGCGAAAGGGGATATGACCCGTCCCAACTTTTATGGTTTAATTGTATTTTAAACCTTTAAAAGTTTTGAAACTATTAAAATTAAGTCTTGAATCTCCTAAAATTTTATCGTTTAATTATTTTTAAGACATTATTAGTTTTAAAAGTTAAATGAAATTAAATCTTGCCTCTTAACTTTTTTTTGGTTTAATTACTTTTTAGGATATGGAAATTTTAAAATTAATGAAATTAAGCCCCAAACTTCTATTATTTTGTGTGTGAATTAATTGCTTAGAACCCTGTTAGTTTCAATGATAAGCAACTTGACCCATCTCATAATTTCATCTTAATTCCGCCCTTCCTACAAGTAATTCTAAAAAATAATATATTTAATAATTTATTTTTAAAAAAATAAATTATTAATAATATAAACACTTATATATGTTGTTGTTTTTTATATAAAAAAGTTAGTATAATGTTTTTATGTATTTAAGGTTCATATTCGAGTTTTAATCGAGTTAAGTCTAAGAATATTTCGAGTTCAACTTTTTCGAGCTAGAGTTGAGCTTTAATTTTACACTTCAAATTTGAGTCAAGCTTAAAAATTTTAAACTCTCAAACTTTTGAGTCGAGTTAAAATCAATTTCGAACTTTTTAAATCAAATCGAATTCAATAATATTCAAATTAGACTGTGCTAAATTCGACCCATCCATTTTGACCTCGGTATTGTTCCAAAAAAAAAATTAGGGTTTCCCCCCTCAACATATAAAGTGTGCAAACAGATAACCTAAGCCTCAATGCAAGTGCCGCCCTCTCTTTCTCTTACAGGTAAGCCTCTACTCTCTTGAATTTTTGTATTTTTTTAAAATCAAAATTAAACTAGGATTCGTGTTCTTACTAAATGTGTGTTTTAGTCTTTTCAGTGTTTGAATTAGCATTGTTATCTATAGATAATTGAAGTTGAAATCTAATTAGATTTTATTTATTTATTGTTACATGTATTTCGATAAACATAAACTGTTTCTGAATTAGGTGATTTGAGGTTTTTGTTGTTTCGGTTAAGCAATCCGCAAAGATGCAGAACGAAGAGGGTCAAAACATGGATCTTTACATCCCCAGGAAATGGTATTTAATTCACTTCACCATATTTCTTCTTTCTTTTTACTATATTGTTTATATAGGAAGCTTTATTATTTGTTGTTGTTCCAGTTCTGCCACCAATAGGCTCATCACCTCGAAGGATCATGCTTCCGTCCAAATCAACGTCGGACATTTGGATGAGCTTGGCAGATACACCGGCACATTCTCCACTTTTGCTCTTTGTGGATTTGTCCGTGCTCAGGTTTGCTTTTTCCCCACCAGCCTGCTGATTGTTTTTATTACTGTTGTAAGGTCAATGCTTGTTCATGTTCATTATGTATTGCTGTGATGCTTGTGGTTGGATTGCATTCTCGTACATTCATGTCGTGTACTCGTGTTTTTGTTGACATCCCAGTAAAAGGCATAATCAGGTATCTTGCTTTGTTAATAATATGTTTGTGGTTGCTTTCTCATGCCGAAACTTGTTTTACTCTGTGTGTTCACTTGGAGAGGATATTGGTTTTAAGAATGTTTTCGATGAAAATCTAATGGCTAGAACTGGATATGATAGTCAATGCTCACGTTTGAAGACATAGAAGAGACAAAATGTGTTGTGGATTGAGAAATAAGAAGATGAAATTATCGAAGAATAAGGGATTTTAAAAGAGAAAGAAGGGAGATTACAGAAAGTGAATTCTCATTCATTCAAATCATAAAGGAAATATGCACTACATGAGGTATTATTTAGTTACAATTCGTACTGGTAATTCTAACAAAGCCAGCTAACAATTTTTATAACTGAATGCTTAACAAACTGATTCTTTTTTCTTTTGTATTTCAGGTACTGGGCCACTCCATCTCGCCCCAAACCTCCCTGGCCTGCCTCCACATCATCAGGTAAGTCAAATTCCCTTCGTGCTTTAATCTCTTTTCTGATTTCAATCCCCAATCTTCTCTCGCAAATCCCTAATCCCTCATCCTCCAAAATCCCTAACCCTCCTTTCTCCATTCCCAATTCCTGTTCGTTCCTCCGTTCTTCATCTTCTTCTCCAACTATAACAATACCCGCCCCACGAGACGAGCCTTGTCCCCAAGGATCAAATAAAGGAAACTGGCCACGTAGAAACGAATAATCTTCCCAGGTATTATTCGATTCATCCAAGTTTTCCCATTGAACCAAAAGCTGAGTGATTGGCTTTCCATTTCGATTCACGATTCGTCTTCCCACAGTTTTTAAGGGTTTAATCCGTATCTGACCATCATCGTCTATTGTAGGAGGATCTGTAGCAGTCACCGATGAATCGCCAATGAATCTCTTCAAAAGACTGACGTGAAATACATGATGGAGTCTCGAAGAATCAGGTAAGTCCAACCGATAAGCCACCTCACCTATTTTTTCCAGTATTTTGAATGGTCCATAATATTTGGCTGCTAATTTGAGATTTTTTCGCAGGGCAATTGAAGATTGTCTATACGGCTGCAACTTCGGGTACACCAATTCTCCAATTTGAAAAACCCTTTCTGATCTATTTTTATCAGCCTGCTGCTTTATTTTGTTATTGGCTACTGCTAATTGATGCTTGACCATTTGCCTGATATGCTCCCTGTTAGACATAATTTCACTTACTGACTGAACTTTAGTATCCATTGGCCAAACCATAATAGGTGGTTTGTACCCATATAAAGCCTGAAAGGGAGTTAATTTTAAAGCAGTATGGTAAGTGGTGTTGTACCACCATTCTGCCTGAGGTAGCCATTTAGCCTAATGTCTAGGCTGAAAAAAACAAATGCCCCTTAAATACTGCTCTAAACACTGACAAATGCCCCTTAAATACTGCTCTAAACACTGATTGACTCTCTCTGTTTGTCCATCCGTTTCTGGATGATAAGCAATGCTGAACTGTGTCCTTGTACCCAATTGTTTCATCAATTCTTTCCAAAATAAACTAGTAAAGGTCTTATCTCTGTCAGAGATGGCCATTTTAGGTTGGCCATGTAGTTTATAAACATTGTCTAGGTAGAGTTTAGCAACCTCTGCAACAGAATAAGGATGAGCTAGGGATAAAAAATGACTGTATTTGGTAAATTTATCCACAATTACCAAAATACAGTTTTTCTTGAAGGATGTAGGAAAACCCTCAATGAAATCCATAGTAATAATTTCCCATGCTTGATTAGGAACAGGTAGGGGTTGTAGCAAACCAGGTTTTGCCACATGCTTCACCTTAGTTTGCTGACAAACGTCACAACACCTCACATAGGTAGCAACCATAGCTTTAAGGTTTGGCCAATAAAAATTTGACCTAATTCTATAATAGGTAGCCTGTGCCTCAGAATGTCCACCCTAAGAAGAATCATGCAAAGTCTGTATAACTTTCAACCTAAGGCTTCCATTAGCTCCAATATAAACTCTCCCATCATATCTAAGAACAGCTTAGTATATTTCCATTTCTTGTCAGCAGCTGAATTAATAGTTAAAATGGAAATCCAATTTTGAGCTAGAGAATCATCCTTATAGCTTTCCTCAATCTCCTGAACCCAAGTAGGCACCAAAACTGTCACTCCCATAGTCAAACAAGAAGCTTGATCCTCCCATGTTCTAGATAAAGCATCAGCAACTACATTTGATTTTCCCTTTCTATACTAAATAGTGTAGTCTAAACCCAATAGCTTTGTCAACCCTTTCTTCTGGATGGTGGTAGTCAGCTTCTGTTCCAAAAGATATTTCAAAGGCTCATGGTCAGTTTTAATAACAAAAGGTCTGCTTTCCAAATAATGTCTCCATTTAGAAACAGCCAAGAGAATAGCAAGATATTCTCTTTCATAAATAGACAGATCTGTGTGTAGGGCTTAAAGCTTTACTTAAATAGGCAATAGGTCTTCCCTCCTGTGAAAGAACAGCCCCTATACCCCCAGAACTAGCATCTGTTTCCAGATAAAAAGTCTTAGAAAAATCTGGTAATGCCAAAACTGGAGCAGAGCACATAGCTTTCTTAAGATCCTCAAAAGTTGTAAGCAGCAGAAGTCCATTGGAACCCATCCTTTTTAACATCTGTGTCAATGGTCTGCTAATAATGCCATAATTAAAACTTCCAATACTAACTGTAAATGTTCAACATGGTCTGCCATACTGCTGCTGTACACCAATATATCATCAAAGAAAACCAAAACAAATTTTCTAAGGAAAGAATTAAACAAGTCATTCATAAGTGCCTGAAATGTAGCAGGAGCATTAGTAAGGCCAAAAGGCATCACCTTAAATTCATAATGGCCTTGATGTGTTCTAAATGCAGTCTTGTAGATGTCTTCTGGTTTAATTCTAATCTGCCAATAGCCTGACCTCAGATCAATTTTTGAAAAGTAAACTGCCCCATGTAGCTCATCCAATAAATCTTCCACTATAGGAATAGGAAATTTGTCCTTAATAGTCATACTATTAAGCTGTCTGTAATCCACACAAAACCTCCAAGTGCCATCCTTCTTTTTAATAAGAAGGCAGGGAGAGGCAAAGGGACTTCTGCTAGGCTGAATGATAGAAGAAGAAAGCATTGTAGTGATCTGTCTTTCAACCTCAGCCTTCTGATTGTGAGGAAATCTGTAAGGCCTTAAATTAACTGGTGTGGCAGTAGACTTAAGTGGAATGACATGATCATGAAACCTCTGGGGAGGTAGCCCTTCAGGTTCAACAAAAAATGAGTTGTACTTCTCCAATATATGTTGAAGTTCCATAGGAATAGCAAAAGAACTTCCTGCCATAGTAAATAGGACAATATGCCCTATAATATCAGAATCCCCTGCACTCATTTTAAGTAATGTTGCCCCTGAAATTTGCTATAGTTCAGTTGAGGGTTATTGTCCCTGAATACAATTCTGCTATCCTTCATGATTAAAACTTAAAGTCATATGATTGAAGTCCATTAATATTGGACTGAATAACTTCATCCAATCTACTCCTAAAACCATGTCACTCCCACCCAGTTTAAGCAGCCTAAAATCATGCAAAAAAGTATGTCCCTGCATTTGCCACTCTACTTTATTGCATCTAGCAGTACTGAATAATTGTTGGCCATTAGCCACAGTAATAGCCAAAGGATAAGGAGTAGTAATCTGAATCCCAACATCAGCCCATTTAGGAGTCAAAAAACTGTGTGTACTGCCACTGTCAATGAGGATACTCAATGGTTTTCCTTGAATAGTGCCCTGGATTCTCAATGTAGTATGACCAATAGAGCCAGTAATAACATTCATAGAGATTTCCAAAGTTTCCTCTTCTGTCTGTGGAGTCTGGTCCAAATCTGTAGGAAAAATTTCCATTGAAGGAGTATCCACTTCTTCCGTAATCATGTTCAACTGTCTATTTTTACATTGATGACCTGGAAGATACTTCTCACCACATTTAAAACAAAGATTATTCTGCCTTCTATCCTCCATAAGACTCTGTTTAGGATTAACTACTGATGTAGGTCTTGAATTAACTGGCAGTGCAGAGGGTTTAGAAACAGTACTGGGGTTTGGGTAGGGTGGGACTTTAAAAGAAGGCCTCAACCTTCTGTTTTCAAACTCCACATATAATTCATAGAGTTTAGCTTGCTTACATGCTTCAAATAAATTCTTAGGATCTAAAGCCTTAACCCTATGTTTAATATCATCTCTGAGTCCACTAACAAAGAGTGACACAAAAAATTCCTCAATCAAAGTATAATTCTGCAAAAGCATATGAGGTTGTAACTCCTCAAAGTTCTCCTGATAATCCTCTACAGACCCTTTCTGAGTCAATTTAGTAAACTCTTCAACAATATCAGAAAAACATCCATCAAACCATATTTCTGCCTTGCCTGTTAAGTACATAGTAGCTACCTCTACTCTTTGCTCAACATGAACACCACAAATAGAAAAGTACTTATGGTATTTCTGAATCCACCCCCTCGGATTAACTCCTTCTAAAAAAGGCAGTTCAATTTTAGGTCTATGCCACATATTCCCTGCATTACTAAATGAACTTCCTGATCCCTTGTTTTCAGCTACCATTCCCATCATATTAGGTCTAGTGTTACTGTTTTCACCTACCAAATTTTCAGGCCTAGAACTATTCTTAATGGCCAAACAAGCATCAGGTTTATCTTTCAAAATCCTTGGTTCATCCGTTTTATAAGTGAATCGTGATTTATCTTTCACTACAGTCACCAAAACTGGATTTTTCTCCCCATCTTTAGAGTTGTTAGGAGTTTGTACCTGTTCCCCAGCAGGTTGTTCATTTTCATCTGTTTTGCCTGTTAAGATCTTTAACAGTTCTTCAACATAGCCATGATTAGTAGCCATCCTCGACTCTAATGCAGTAATTCTGTTTTCTTGCATTTCCCACCA